AAAAAACAAATTCCTTCTTTCCTATGATGGTAGTACTTTAGATTTTCATATAATTTCTTCTAGAAAATCTTAATATTGTGATGTTGCTACAGAATTTTTCCTCAAAATGGATACCTCTTTTTAAAGGTCCCACAACATAACTTTTTACCACACAAATTAGAAGAAGTTTATATGAGGAGTTGAATTTGGGCAGTGAGTTTGGGGCATCTGAATATGCACACTTTATCTTGTCCAGGTGATCCTGGAAGCAGTATATAGATTAAAGTCATATCTCTAATCCCCATGGTTTTCTACATTAATATACTCCATTTTATCATTTTGTCCAAGTGTATGCTTTGACTGTGTGCTTTAAAATCTGTACTCTACAATCTCAGAACAATTCTTAATAACATCCAAGTATCTCAACTTACCAGCCCTTTTCCAATCTTATACATATTCTTTCTACAATTTGTCATTAAATAATTGCACCACTTAATTCCCAAGACTTCATGTTTATTTTCTTGTCTGTGTTGTTTTTCTAGCATAGACTTTTGTTGACTATTTCCAGTGATATCTATAAGCTTCTAAATTTCTCAAAAATATTTTTAAAAGGAGGAAAATAGATAAGGATAGAGGGTTGATGGGGCCCCACTAATATTTTTAATAACTAGTACCTGTTCATAGACTCTGGAAGTAGGTTGCCACTGTCTTTATTTAGTAGTGTATTTATAACTGATCTCTCCAGGATCTGACAGATAGATTTAAACCCATGTTTACAAGGGCTGCACTAGTTAACTTCAATAAGTCACAAAACAAAATGAATAATCATGAATGTGAAAAGCAATTTGTGGAAAGGAGAGCTATGACAGAAGTGGTAGGGAAGTAAGAGATAAGGATTGCTGTGTATATGTGAGAGATTATCAGAAAATGTCTTAAAAATAATTTAGAGTGACCATTAAAGAAAGCCACATCTGCATACAATACAAAGATCAATGTTTCGGGGGGACCCCTGCCTCAATGACTACTGCATTCTATGTCCAGGGAACATCATAGGAGTAGGAATGGAAAGATTATGAGAATCAGAATATCAGGGAATTTCTTGTGTAACTGCCTTTCTTGGAAATGTCTATTTTAACAAGGCCTGAACAATGACAGTATCAGCTATACACATTAATACAGAAGTGAGCAAAAGTTTCACAGGGTCCTAACACCAGACAAAAAACTTCAGGCAGCTAATGACTACTAAGAAGAAGAGAATTAGGTACTCTCAGGGATGAGCCCCCTGATTGATTATCCAATACAAAGCAGTTAGACTTGAAACCATATCTACCCAAACAACAAACATGAGCTCAGCAGGTTGTGCTTATATAGTTTTGATAGATAGACAGACAGACAAACAGACAGAGATAGATAGATAGATAGATAGATAGATAGATAGATAACAATAAAAAAGAAAAGAAGCTATTGCTTTGAGAGTAAATTGGAAAGAGAAAAAGAAATGGGGAAGTGATGTATTTACTTTTTAATAACAAATTTAACAATAAAACAATTTAATAATAATGAAATAATAGGAGAGGACCACCTGCCACCATGTCACCCAGGGACAGTAGGCAAAAGATTCCCAAAGACATGCTGATTATGTAGATCCATCTGCAGCAGGAGCCACTACAATGTACAAATATGTGGTGGAGAGATGAGAGAGAAAGAGAAGCTGAAGAAGCAAGAGGGTAGTGGGCTTGATTATTGCTGGTATAACAGCTTTAATTAGATTAATTGCTAGCACCACTGCTTCTGAAATTGCTGTGACACAAGTAAAGACAGCTACTTTTGTTAATCATTTAGCAAAAAAATGTTACTAATGTGTTGAATATACCAGAGGATTTAGATAGGTATTTGGAAGAATGGATTGATGCTCTTTATCCTATTCAAATTACTGAAAGGAGGTTCAGAATTTAAGGGTAAGGAGCCATCTTGAGTGTCATGCCAAATACCATTGGATTCATGTTAGTTCTAAAATTTACAGTGGCAGTCATTATAATTAGGAAAAAGTTTAAAGACACTTGCGGTGTATTTGGCATAATTCTAACACCTCTCTGGGTGTTTTAACATTACATAGTGAGCTAATGAATTTCAAGAATTCTGCTCTGCTGAGCGTTGATGTGGTAGATACTGCTGATAAAATTACCCATGGCCTGAGATCAGTATTTCTATTTTGGTCAAGCTTCAAAATGGCATACATAGCTTGATCATGCTAGCCCTTTTTGTCCTGGGAATACTTTTATTCCTGCCCATCATGTTAAAGCTTGTCTTTAACAACATCAACAGGTTGGCAGCCAAAGTACAGGGCTTGAACCTGAAAATGAACCCCCAGACAGAGTTATTAAATTAACAGACTGGCAAGCCAAGGATGGGTAAGATTCTGCACAGAGCCTTACCAACCTAAGACAGAAGTGCATTGCTTTGTATAATGCATATTCCATAATGAGTAAGGAAGGCATTCTTGTCAGAATGACTAAGACAGGCTCAGTCTTGTTAATGAAATTAAAAGGGGGGAGAGGCGGAGAGCCTTTGAGGCTGCTTGGCAAGAATCTGGCATGGGCCAAGGACGAGAAAATGGGCTGCTTGGCAGAAATATAACATTGGCCAAGGACAAGGAAATGGAGTTCAAGCAGGAATCTGACATTAGGCTAGAACAAAGAGTAATTTCAGGTAGAAATCTAAATCTTAGGCTAGAACAAAGACGTAATTTCAGACAGGAATCTAAATATTAGGCTAGAACAAGGAAGTAGGCTTCAGACATAAAAATGACTTTGGGCTAGGACAGGGAAGTTGGCTCAGATATTTTGATCATCCCAATAAGCCCTTAGAAACAGTGAGTGTTCATGTAATTATGTTTAATGCCTTGCTTGTTCTTTGACTATTTGTGTTTATTGTCTTCATTGTTCCTTGACTATTTGCATCTATTGTATTGCTAGACTCTCAACCTAGAACTGACCTTAATAGTTACATGTAATTAAAATGGTATAAAAGCAAAAAGGAGGAGGGGGTAGGGTAGGGGGTTCTAGGGAGGGAAAATGGGAAAAGGGGATGACATCTGAAATGTAAATAAATAAAATATCCAATAAAAGCACATAAATAAAAAAGAAAGAGAAGTTGAATGCATTGAGCATTATAAAGAGAGAAAGAACAGGAGATTTGAGGGTGGAAAAGAATAGCCTGAGATGAACAGCCTGCCCTGTTACATGAGATCATAGTGAAGCTCCAGCCTGTGCTACCACTGAAGGCCGTGGGGAGGTCTGTAGCCATGTAGCAGCCATGGATCTGTGTCATGTCTGTGTCTCCAATTAACAACCAAGACCATTTTGAACATCCCTGGTCTGGGCTACCACCTGAATAGTAATGCTCAAGAGCTGTGCAGAGTTGGCCCCACCCTCACTGCCTTCCGCACTCTGGAAAACTAGTCCCATCCCTCAGTGGCTGCAGCACTCATAAGAGAAGGTTCAGCACCAGGCCCTGCACCAGGCCCATGCAATGTACCCAGATCTGGGGAGCAGGGGGAGGGAGGGGTACAAGTGATCTGGCTCTAAGCACATGAGTACTGGAGGGCTTGCCCTGTCATCCCTTTGCCATAAGGTGGTGTAGGCTAGGGAAAGTGGCCCCCTCACTCCTCACTACCTGCATCTGGAGAGCTGGCTCCAAGGTCCTGAGAGTAGGAGAGCTGGCTCTGTCCCTCACTGGCTGCAGGATTCATGAGAGAGAGAGACTATGCACCTCATCTGGGTACCACAGTAGAGCTGGCACTTGTGGCAAGGGCACGAGTGAGTTGGCCCTAACAGCAGGAGAGCTGGAGAGCTGCTTCTGCCCTTTTCTGATTGTGGCATTGAGTGAGCTAGCTGAAGCAGTGCTGGAGAGCTCACCCTGGTGGTGTAGATACAGAGAGCTGGTGGACTGACCAACTCAGCTAAAGACGGGCCCACGTCCAGAGCTTTGAGTTGTCCCACCCTAACATCAACCCCATCTTTGAAATGCAAGAGCACATGAAGGAGCTGGCCCTTCAGATCCAAGGCTGGAGAATCTCCATGACACAGGACAATAACAGAATATCCAGGAAGAGCCCATGGAGCATCCAGTATTGGTAGTGTTGCAGAAGCCAGAGGCCTCAAACCAGACCAATGACTCATTCCAATAAACCTTTGAAAGCAAAGATATGTAAACAAAGAAGTATACTGTGTGACAAACTGCAATTTCCACAAAGTGGCATTTGTTTTGTTTTGATTCCTTTTTTGCTGCTCTCTTTTGTTCGGAGAGGTTAAATGGGCAGAGGGTAGGGACCAAGGGATGGGGAGATGAGTAGGGTTGGGATGCATTATGTGAAAGTCACAAAGAATCAATAAAAAGTTATAATAAAATAAAATAATAATAGATATTGTCCATTTGTATCTTTCCCGGGCATATTCCCAAAGAACTCTATATCCTACCACAGAGATACTAGCTCACCCATTGTTTATTGTTGCTCTATGTACAATAGCCAGGAAATGGAAACATCCTAGATGTCCATCAACTGATGAGTAAATAATAAAAATATGGTACATTTATATAATGGACTATTATTCAGCTGTTAAGAAAAAAATGAAATCATGTAACTTGCAGGTAAATGCACAGAGTTTGAAACAGTCATGCTGAGTAAGATGACCCAGACTCAGAAAAACACATTTTCAGTTATTTGTTCTCAATTTTGTGTCTTTCTGCTGAGACTTGTCTATCCATTCATTAGCCTCTTGTCAATTAGATTATTTTGGGTTTGTGATGTTTGGTTACTTTCAGTTATTTGTATAGCCTAGATAACCACATAGGCATATGTAGTTGGAAAAGATTTGCCTATTCGGTAGACTATCTCTTTACTCTGCAGATTGTTTCTTTGTTGTGAAGAAGCTTTTGAATTTCATATATCAAGTTTGTCAATTCTTGCACTTATTTCCCGCATTGTGGGAATCCTTCAGAAAGTCTCAGCCTTGCTTATTTATACCTTGAAGTGTTTTATTTAATTTCCTATAGCAAAGCAGTTTTGAAGTTTAGGGATAGATAGATAGATAGATAGATAGATAGATAGATAGATAGATAGATAGACACATAACCTAATATCAAGGCTGATGAAATGGCTTAGCTGCTAACAGCATGTACTCTCTTGCAAAGGGCCTGAGTTTGGTTCCAAGCATTCACATAATGATGCTCAGAAAGCCTCTAACTCCAGCTCAAAGGACGTCTGATGCCTCTGATGT